TCCGACAATGGTGCCAAGCGGTCCAGCAGCGATGTCGACCACTTCGGCAGAACAGGGAAGCCGAGGACCACCAATGGAGTTCACCTCCCCTCCGAGCGACATCAACGAGTTCATGGATGCTTTCCACGACGGTGAGGAGGTCCGGTTCCACAGGCTGGACAACATCGTCGGCAATGTAGTGGCCACAGGCCTAGCGACTCAGCTGCTCGACGATCCAGAGGTGCTCCTTGTTAGTGCCAAGGAGCCACTGACGTTCGCAGTGGCTGAACACGACGCCAATTGGCGACGGGCAATGTTGGAAGAGATTAAGGCCATCGAGGATAATGGCACATGGGAGCTGGTAGATCCACCGGTGGGCTGTAGGCCAATCGGCTTGAAGTGGGTCTACAAGGTGAAGCGGGATGAGCGCGGCGCCCTTGTCAAGTACAAGGCTCGACTCATCACCCGTGGCTTCGTGTAGCGTGACGGCATCGACTTCGAGGAAGTCTTTGCTCCGGTGGCACGAATGGAGTCCATTCGCTTGCTGTTGGCCATGGCAGCAGCGAAGGATTGGCGCATCCACCACCTCAACGTCAAGTCTGCATTCCTCAATGGCGAGCTCATGGAGACAGTCTTCGTCAAGCAAGCTCCGGGCTTCGCCGTCAAGGGCACTGAGCACATGGTGCTCAAGCTACGCAAGGTGCTCTACGAGCTGCGGTAGGCCCATCGGGCGTGGAACGTCAAGCTCGACGCCACCTTGGGTGAGCTTAGGTTTACTTGCTACGCTACAGAGCACGCGCTCTACAGCGCGGTGGCGGGGGAAGGAGGAGCTCGTCGTCGGCGTGTACGTTGATGGCTTAATCGTCACCGGAGCGTGAGCAGAGGACATCGACGGTTTCAAGCGCGAGATGGCGGCTTGTTTCAAGATGAGCGGGCTACGCTACCTCACTCATACCCGACTGGACATTGCATTCGTGGTTGGGTACGTCAACCGTTTCATGGAGGACCCATGCGAAGATCACTGGTCGGCAGTGAAAAGGTTACTAGCGCTACGTCAAGGGGACGCTCGATCAAGCGATCATCTTCCCCAAGAGTGGTGGCAAGGGAGGGTTGTGGCTCACGGTGTTCAGTGAGGCACCCCAAAGCAAAAGGAAGGTGAGCCGGAGCTCACTATTTTCAGCGATGCGGACATGGCGGGCGATATTGATGGGCGACGAAGCACCTCCGGCGTGCTCGTCTTCTTTGGAGCGGCCACCATTGCTTGGCAGTTGCTGAAGCAAAAGATCATGGCGTTGTCGACGTGTGAGGCGGAGTACGTCGCAGCGGCCACGGCGGCGTGCCAGGCTGTCTGGCTACACCGGCTGCTGGGCGAGCTGATCGGCGAGGAAGCTCACCTGTCAGCTCTGATGGTGGACAACTAGCCCGCCATCGCCCTCGCCAAAAACCCTGTCCTCCACGACCGTAGCAAACACATCGACATCAAGTTCCACTTCCTCCGGGACTACATCGATGAAGGGTAGATCGTCATCGAGTTTGTCGAGACCAGCAGACAGCTCGCTGACATCCTCACCAAGTCACTCGGACGCTGCAGTTCATGGAGCCGAGGAAGATGATTGGCATGGATGAGGTCAAGGCATCGAGCTAGCAGCAGGATTAGAGAAAGAATTGTTAGACATAATTTGTTGCTCTCCATTTCTCCTTGGTTGGAGACTGGTCGGCTCGGCCGACCACTCTCTGTTGGGAGTTGGGGACTGATCGGCTCTGCCGACCAGTTCCTGTAGCTGTAACAGTATTGCAATATGCCACCTCTAGTATATTAATTGGTAGCTATTACATCAGCCATGTCTTGGTAGTGGGCTGAGGTAAGCTTTATACCGCTAGGAGTAGTTGGTATACCCTGTACCTTACGAGTAGGTAGTTGGTGTACTCTTGTACTCAGGAGTAGGTAGTTGGTCAACAACTATATAACTGGGAGAGGTACAACTAGAGTTGTATATATTCCATCCAAATGGCAATGGAATACTCAGTTCTGTTGCTACAAATAAAAGGGCAGGGCTTCGGCCAATGCTGGTGCTTGTGCTGAGTGTGTGTGCGCACTGTTCTCAATCTCTTCTTCTACCTCTAGCCATAGTAAGTGAGTATGTGTGCCGATAAGCTAGTTGCTTACCTGCACAGGTCGCAGGGATCAACACTCTTTCCCTTTACCACTCGACCACCAACGGCTTCACAAGTGGCAGTTTGTTCTACAAGGCCCACTGTTTCATTCAGCTATACATTGTAATAAGATCCTTCCTTTACTGGCAGTATCACTAGAGGTCTCCAAGGATGAGTTCTCGATATTTTTGGCCAATAGCCAGCCTTCGATTGGTTGTTCGTTTTTCTTATTCGAAGCCTTTCAAAGGCTGGTTAGGACATCCTACCTTGCGGTTACTTGGTGTTCCATCTCAGAGTAAGGAACTACACCTTGAGTTGGGAATAACTTGTATATATTGCTTGCCTGCTTGTTTTCTGGGGTTATTGAGACATTGTGCAATGTTGATGCAGTGCAAACGTGGGCCCCTCCCTCCTCCTGGTTGTAAGATATTTTATCTCGATCTGCTACTGCTAGGTCACCCATGCGTGGACTTGCGTTTACTAATTACTAGCGAGTAAGACCTTTGTATGCTCAGTTGAGTTGCATTGGATAGAGTGTAGTTGAAGGTTTGACGAGAGGTGCCAAATTTTCTGTCTACAAGTGTGGTTTTCAGGTAGATGCGGTGAAGATTAGATCTGTCCAGTGATTACTTTGAATACTCATTGATTTGGATTTGCTACAAAGACATTGATGTGTGCAAAAAGGGAATTTAACCTGAGAGCTTACTGTCACTGTCTTCGTTTTAGACTGTCCTATTGTGCTCCACTGGTTTTTGTTTTCAACCAACCTGCTATATTTATTTAACACTCCTTCATGTCTGTTCTCAGATGTTGTATCCGTCTAGGGTTCATCAAAGAAGGCATGGAAAGCACAGAAAGCAGGAGCAGTGACGCCTCGCTGATGACAAAGACCAACCTCTAATTACAGTGGACAACCCTGAGGAGAGTGGCAACATATAACTAGAAAACATCACAATTCCAACCGAGGTTGATGATGTTCACAAATGAAAATTTGAGCCTTCAAGAGAATTCTCTACCAAATTGGCGTATGAGGCTTTCTTCCTTCGGGAAATCTATTTTGAGTCAAGCAAACTGATTTGGAGTGAGTGGGCTCCCAGGAAGTGAGCGTCAATGTTACTATCTTGCAAATTTACAGACTATGGCCCGGGTTTCCAAGATGGAATTGCCAAATTCAAGTGCACCAATATAAAAAATTCATGATATAATTATAAATTCTCTTTGCCTAATACTTACATATTATTTCTTCTCATTCTTGATAGCCATACATCTGATTATTTGAGCAGTATTTATTCTTTTGAGCATAATATAGGCCACGCGTACATTGTGCTATCTGATTTTGTCAATCCATCGCATCCTAATAATTAATTGTGGGTTCAACAACACTTTGGGTAAATTAACAAATATATAATAGATATGCTCGCCTTAGTGTTATGGCCAGGTAAGTATAAAATAATTTTAAAACCACAACTTCAAGTATCTAACAATCTTAATTTTTTCTCTTTACCTTGTGCTATCTGATTTTGTCAATCCATCGCATCCTAATAATTAATTGTGGGTTCAACAACACTTTGGGTAAATTAACAAATATATAATAGATATGCTCGCCTTAGTGTTATGGTCAGGTAAGTATAAAATAATTTTGAAACCACAACTTCAAGTATCTAACAATCTTAATTTTCTCTCTCTCTCTCTTTTTGAGGGAATCTTAATTATTTTTTCCTCTAATATATATAGGATGTAGTCTATCACAACCTTAAGCATGTGCGTGTCGCATGCATGTATTTCAAATATGCCCTAGATATGATGGTTATATCCCCCTCATGAATATTCTGTCTTTGAAGCATGCCTTGCACGTTGTGCATTACAAAAAAGGTGCAGGGGAAGCTAAGGCCTGGCGCTCTCGTAGAGAAGTAAAGGCGTCGGCCAAAGTGACACCGGACTGCTCCTCCGGGTTCTTGGCCGTTGGAGCCCGCGGCCGCCGCGCGGTGCCGTGGGCGCGTGGCGGCGTGACTGCCTGCGCCTGCAGTGCATGGTTCCGGCGTTCGTCGCCCACGGTTCGGGACGAAAGCTGAAAGCATCGCACGTCCTGCTGCTGCTGGCGATTAAAAAATCTCAAAGCAAGCTCAACTTGGGGGTACTGAATGGGGGTGCCACTCAGACTCCATCGTGCCTTCACTGCGATCGGCTGCATGCGTGCGTGCTCTAATCCGATCACCCATCATTGGAGGCCTGTTACCTAAGCGCTATCCGTCTTTCTAAACGCTAAACAACAAACACTCGAGTCGCTATCGTTTAGAGCACTTTAACTCATTTTTTTATGTCTAAAGCTCTAATGTGTGGTGGGCTAAAGTTTAGAGCTAACTTTACATCAGTTCTTTGGAGCCAAAACTGTCAATTAAACGGACTATGCGGTATTTAAACAAGCTAAATGACCATATAGACGAACAGTACATGCATGTCGAATCCATCATGCATGTCGCTGGATTGCCGCCGCTGATTTCAGTGAAAACAGAGTCCTGTTTGCCACGAGGAATAGTATTATCATCACAAGCCATGCAGTCCCCGTTTAATAACAAAGCCATCATCGTACTTTATCTCTAGACTAGATAGAGCACAATCAAATATCTTGGGCTCTTGGGATGCATGCATGCATGGCGGCAGCCCTCCGTTTCAGACAAGTCTCAACTCTCAAAGCGACGAAGTTTCTGAACTAGTGCAGTGGTAGGCCCAGTACGTTGCCTCGCATGGCTATAAATTGATGCCTCGTTGCCCAGGCTGAGTCACACTGCACTGCACTGAGATACACATACTCTCTCTTGTGACAATCTCTCGCCCCGCTCAACACCAACTCGAAGTCTCGGATCGCCATGCGTCCACCACGCTCCCCTGTGCACGCCTCGGCGCTGCTTGCGCTCGCCGTGGCACTTTCACTGGCCGCCGCCGCCGCGGCCCGCCACTCCTACACCATCGTTCCGGCGCCCGTGGAGCGGGCGGACGACGAGGTGCGGCGCATGTACGAGGCGTGGAAGTCGGAGCACCGCCACGGCCGGCCGCGCGACGTCGTCAGCTCCGACGACCGGCTGCGGCTGGAGGTGTTCCGCGACAACCTGCGGTACATCGACGCGCACAACGCGGAGGCGGACGCGGGGCTCCACACCTTCCGCCTCGGCCTCACCCCCTTCGCAGACCTCACCCTCGAGGAGTACCGCGGCCGCGTCCTCGGCTTCCGCGGCCGCCGCGGCGCGAGCGCGGCCAGGGTCGGGAGCGGCAGCACCCGCCCCCGCGGCGGCGACCTCCCCGACGCCATCGACTGGCGCGAGCTTGGCGCCGTCACCGGGGTCAAGAACCAAGAACAATGCGGTGCGTACTCGGCGCCATGCAAGCTCGTTATTACTTCGCCCAACTACGTTTTTCTAGAGAGAATCGAATTTGCAGCTAGTTATCTGATGATCTCTGGACCGACGGCGACTGCCGTTGGGGCGGCATGCAGGTGGGTGCTGGGCATTCTCGGCGGTGGCAGCCATCGAGGGGATCAACGAGATCGTGACGGGCAACCTCGTGTCGCTGTCAGAGCAGGAGATCATTGACTGCGACACCCAGGACGGCGGCTGCAACGGCGGGGAGATGCAAAACGCTTTCCAGTTCGTCATCAACAACGGCGGGATCGACACCGAGGCCGACTACCCCTTCATCGGAACTGACGCCGCCTGCGATGCCAACCGGGTCGGTACTACTACTGCTGCCAAAAGTTGCTGCACTAGATTACAATACAGTTCAATGGGCTGGAACTGGAACTGAAGGCAATGGAGATTTTCATGCATTGTTCAATTGCAGGTGAATGAAAGGGTGGTGACCATTGACAGCTTCGTGAGCGTGGCCACCGAGAACGAGACAGCCCTGCAGGAGGCGGTGGCGAACCAGCCTGTGAGTGTCGCAATCGACGCAAGCGGGCGTAAATTCCAGCACTACACCTCGGTAAGCATCGATGACGAACCTGTGCCAACAAGATCAGATCGTCAGATCATGGAGGTGTTGTTTCTGGCCATGAATTGATTTTCCAATCGTACATTACATGCGTGCAGGGAATCTTCAACGGGCCATGCGGGACGCAGCTAGATCACGGCGTCACGGCGGTGGGCTACGGCAGCGAGAACGGCAAGGACTACTGGATCGTGAAGAACTCGTGGAGCGCCAACTGGGGCGAGGCTGGCTACATCCGCATCAGGCGCAACGTCGCCGCGGCCACGGGCAAGTGCGGCATCGCCATGGACGCGTCGTACCCGGTGAAGGGCAGCCCCAACCCGACGGCGACGGCTGGGGCAGCCATGGATGTGCTGAAGATGGCTCTTGCTTAGGCCTGACCGCCTGAGGCTGGCAGCCGACTGAACTGAAGTTACTCGATCGTTGTTTCCACTATAGTGCTGTTCTGAGTTGTGTGATGCACGACGCATGGTCTAGTTTAACTTTATATATGTACCACCGGAAATAAGTTACTCCTCATAATAAAGTTACGATGTGATAAGTTAATAACTTATTGTAATAAAAATTCTGTCTTTTGTAACCATGGATTCTCATTCCGTTTTGCATGGTTTTATCGATCTTTTTTTTTCCAAAAGGGCAGCCCCAACCCGACGACGACGGCTGGGGCAGCCATGGATGTGCTGAAGATGGCTCTTGCTTAGGCCTGACCGCCTGAGGCTGGCAGCCGACCGAACTGAAGTTGCTCGATCGTTGTTTCCACTATAGTGCTGTTGTGAGGGCTTTTTAAATCCAGGGTGTAAAGTTTTAGGGTGTGATATCGAGCGTCATATGGAGGTGTCGCATGAGGTGTTTTGATACTAATAAAAAATAAATTACAGAATCCGTCAGTAAGCCGCGAGACGAATTTATTAAGCCTAATTAATCCATCATTAACACATGTGTTACTGTAGCACCACATTATCAAATCATGGACTAATTAGGCTTAAAAGATTCGTCTCGCAAATTAGTCGCAAACTGTGCAATTAGTTATTTTTTAGTCTATATTTAATACTCTATACATGTGTCCAAATATTCGATAGGATAGAGAGTAAACTTTAGGGAGAGGAACTAAACAAGACCTGAATTGTGTGATACACGATGCATGGTCTAGTTTAACTTTATATATGTACCACCGGAAATAAGTTACTCCTCATAATAAAGTTGTGATGTGATGCATGATGTTTTAGGGGTACGTTGTAAGTGTTTCATGTAGATGTTGCAAAAGTAGATCGAGATGTTGCACATGTTACAATGGCTATACACGTATGTTTCAAGTGTATGTTCATAATGTTTCATCTATTTCAAACGCATGGTTCAAGTGTTTCAAAAAATGTTACAAAAGTAGATTTGGATGTTGCATATATATGCAAGTCTTTCATGTATTTTCATATGTATGTTTGCAAGTATTTTCATCTGGATGTTACAATATTTTGTAATGGCTACACACATGCTTTCAAGTTTTTTCTGGTGTTTTGCAAGTGTTTCAGACCTATGTTGCAAGTGTTTCAGCTGTTTTGGACGTATGTTGCAAGTGTTTCATCTGGATGTTGCAAAAGTATTGGATGTTGCACATGTTGAATGTGACCTACTTGTCGCAACCGCCTGCTACAGCTGCTGGTGGGTGCTGCCGAGCGGTGGGAGACGTTTGGGCGGTGCAGGCTCCGCCTGGGCACGCAAAACGATCAGACGCGGGAAATGAGGTGTAGGGAAACAGACCAGTAGGCACGCGCGTCTGGACATCCGGACGTCTGGGCACTGGCATCTCCGTAGCTAGAAACACCACCCATAGTGAGTAACAACTTCTTTTATCATGAAGGCCACCTCCTCTGGTTGCTTTTCCAAATTCTAAAGGTCCTCCGATATGTCTCATTGCATAAATTCCACCAATAACTAATAACAGTTTCATCAATAAGCTTTCTTTGGCTCTTGTCAAATTTAGCTCTTACTCGCTGCCACCATTTATAAATTGAACAACTATGACAAATATTGTTTAGAAGATTTGATAGAATCTCCCATTGGGCCTCTTTTGTTCGAAACTTGTATTGCATATGGATAGTTCTTGCAGAGGTGTCAGGGACTTTCTGGGTGTTGGTTACATACACCACATATCTGGTTGTTAGGCCATCCCTTTTCTGAAGATTATCGTCTGTCATAATTTTGGTGTGAAGTAGTGTCTAAGCAAAAAAAAACGACATTTTGGCCCTATCCTTGCCTTCTAGATTGAATTGATCTTTAGTTTACATGTCATTCCTACATATTGTATTTGGTAGGCACCACTGGTTTTGTACTCTCCATTATGAGTCCATTTCCAGCCAATTTGGTCCTCTTCCTCCATGTTTCTATTGATATCCTTGATCGTTTCCCATAGCTTTACAAATTTCGTTAGTTCCGTTTGTGAGTTGATCGGAAAATATGCCTAACCCATGTGTGATCATTTAAGGCCTCATGTGCAAATCGTTTTTCCTTCTTGTGTTTTGATATAGGGATGGTGCAATGTTCCTTGCTTCTTCTTCATTTATCCAACTTTACAACCAAAATCTGGTCATGTCACCTTTGCTAATGGTAACCACGGTTGATTCATGGATTAGGTCTATGCCAGTTCTATCGATTATGTTAGGCAGTGTTTGGTTGGAGGGATAAGGTTGGATGGGATGGGAAGAACCCAGTTCTAATGGTGTTTGGTTCAAAGTTAAGCCAGAGTGAGGGATATCCCACTAGAGAATATTCCTCTAGAAGTGGGATGATTTTGCCCCTAAAATTGAGGGACGGAGTCATCCGAGATGAGATGGGAGTGTAGGCTTATATTATTTGACAATTGGGTCCCGCACATCATTGTCTCATCCCACTTTTTTGTGTCTTTATACCAAATAAAAAATGAGTCGGTCCAGTTCCTTCTCAACCAAGCACAAAATGAGTACCTCCCGTCTCATAAATCAGAGATAGGACCATATACCACCTTGTCTCCCAACCAAATGCTACTTGATTGCACAACGGATATAGCGCAACTTGTTATACCCATGAGCTAGTGCCACACTAGACATAGATCCAATAGAGTCTATAACAAACAAAGGCATCAAGCCTAACTCAGCCTAAAAGACAAGTCTGATGGGTGGTTGCCTCACCTTTTATGTTGTGCTCCCCACCATCATTTCCCAATGTATAACTAAACCTAGCAACAAGTTTCTTTCTAGAATAAAAATCAAGCACTTGTGCCATGTCAAGATTTAACATGGGTGAATAAGTTCCACCACGAGAAACTTAACCAGCTGAGTCACTATACTTATTTCACACTTTATCTGATTTATCATGTTGTTTCAACATAGAAAAAAAAAAGAAGTGGAGAAGCCAGCACCATGGAAACAAGTCTTGAGCATGGAGCTCTCGAGAGTGCATACATGCAACAAAGCGATTTACTCATTTACATATCACACCACATGCTTATCTATCGTTAGTTATATTAACCTCAAAGTGGAATCTTCGGTTCACCATATTTTACTTTTAATAATGCTTTGCACACCTTTCTTTCTGACCTAGACCCATGATCTTTGTTCATATGATCTTTGTCTAGCCAAGGTACACAGTACTTAAATTCTAAGATATATTGGAATAGCTGATAACACGACCATCATATAAATCTCTGAGTCGCAAGTTATCTATGTGACCGCGTAACAAATTATGTATTTTGCTGCAACGTGTGAACATGTTTTCTAGTACTAGTTAAACCAAATTTTAAAAAATATCACATTATCACCACGTGCAGGCGTGAAGCATCCGATTTAATTTTCCGTGGAATCGGCGTCCACAGCCACGACGCAAACGTCAAGAGCTGCGTGCCCAAATGTGAGACAGGGTCAGATGGGCAAGGAAAAGCACCCGGTTTCCTGCCCGGAACGCCCGCCATTGATGGCCCCTCGTGGCCTTTTAATTTCGTCGTTTCTTATCTATCCCTCGACAAGATGCTTTAATTACTGCACGTTTCTACATATGAAAGAGAGAGCTCTTCTTGCGCAAAAAAGAAACAAATCAAGGGCATGTTTAAAATCAAGGGCATGTTTAGATGGCGAATTTTTTTGCAAAATGCACTGTACCACTTTTCATTGTTATTTGACAATTAGTGTCCAATCATAGTCTAATTAGGCTTAAAAGATTCGTCTCGTGAATTTTGTCTAAACTGTATAATTAGTTTTATTTTTTATTTATATTTAATGCTTCATGCATGCGTCTAAAGATTCGATGTGACGGGGAATTAAAAAATTTAGCAAAATTTTCTGGAACTAAACTGGACCCAAGAGGGAGCTCGTAGAAAGGCGTTGCCCAACAAAGCGTCGCCGCGGGACAGGCTTTCGAGCTCCCTGCTGTGCTCCACAGTCGGAGCACGCCGTCGGCGGCGGCGGCCGCTGCTGCAAGTACAAGCGGTCTCAGGGCATGTACAACCTACAGACGGGGGTACATCTCTAAGCGCCTCGATTCTATCATACAGACAGGTATAAAGACGGGTCATACAACCCATAGACAGGATCTATCTCTAAGTTGTTTAATAGCTAGGATCAACTGTAAATAAATTTTTGTATAACACTGTGTGGCTATTTGATAGAAAATGCATCAAGGATAAATAAGAGCAATATAATTACAATATTTTTAAAAACCATCAATATAATAATCATATTATATATAGCTGCAAGTCCTCATAACCCAGGTCCGCCAAAAAAAACCTACACAAAGTAGTGCATACATGTATGTCAAGTTGGCAACATATGAAAGAGGTTGTTTAACATATACAGGTTGCTCAATTTACTACATATAGGACATAATCATTTGCAAACTAATGATTTACTAGCTCTGTATAACAAAAGTCATCTAAGGACTTCCCTGTCCATGGTATAACAAAAAAAATAGTACTGGCTGAATTTTCTGAATTTTCATAAAATAGCAGCATGTTCACAGTTTCAGAAAAATAGCAGCACATTCACACTGAACTGAAAAGTCAATACACGCATGCAGTCTACAGCCTCACCTTCCTGCTCTTTATTTTTTGCCAAAATCAGATGAAACATGAGCATCCAAGGTACAACAGTCCAGCAGCGCATCCTTTTACTCTTCCTCACGCCAAGCACCAGAGAACAATTTCAGAGTGTAGACTCACTGCAATATGCTAGAATCAATAATCGGCTAATAACAGTAACCTATCAGATGCTGAAGCCTAAAAACTTATATGCTTCAATTTGATCATGTAACTGCTAGGAGGAAAATACAGTATAGCTCTGCAAATGCATAATGCCTTGCCAAAGTAAGCAAAAGGGAACAGATTGCACCACTGCAATAACTTCAGTTCCATACAGTAACACAAAACGAATTTTCAGCAATAAATTGGTACTGGTTTAACTCAACATCAAACAGCAGCAACGACCAGGCATTAGTTCATTCTAAAACAACAGTAAGAAACATATATCAGGAATTAGGCATCGACCAACAGTTCTGTCAAGGACTCAAAGTGAAGCCACTCTGCTAAGGCAATGATAACTCTGTATTGACCTTTTCATCAGACAGTCATCGGACCTTTTCATCAGCTAGGACATTTAGATCCCTGAGACAAGAAAAGGAATAAGTTGAGTTGTTCGGATCCATGTAGAATCATTGCCAAATACAAATCAATTCATATCTGCGATGAGTATTTTCATACTATTGCTTGATAAGTTTGCGGGGGACTTATCGAGAATAAGCAAGCAGGTCAACTCGAAGTAATTCAAGTAGTAGCGAGAGAGAGAAAAAAAGACGGACAATGTGCTGGTGAATTGGACGAGGACGAGGACGAGGAGAGGCGTGCTTACAGGGTGGATCTTGGTACTGATGAGCTCGAGCACGACTCTCCGGCTCCGGCCGGCCATGTCCCACAGCGCGACGCTCCCCGTCGCTGCCTCCTCCTCACCCCTGCTGCTGCGGACATCGGCGCGCGGTGGTAGAACGACGCGAGGCTGAGCTCGTTCGCGCACCGGCCGTGGCTGGCCCCCAACGGAAGCCCGTGAGCGCGCGCGCCGAAATCAGAACCCCGCGCGCATGGGATCCGCGAGCCGTCGACTCGGAGAGGTTGTCTTACAACGCTGCTGGAGTAGCCGTCTGAGCCTCGGACCACGGGACTTCCCCGTCGTCTCGCGAGACGACGCGGCCTCCGTCTCCAGGCTTCCACGGGGTTGTTTTTGCAAAAACTGCGACTTACAGACGGATGGAAGGGACGCGTTGTACATGCCCTCACCGTACGGTCGGCGCACAAGGTATAGGACGCAGGCAGTTGCACGCCTGAGCGTGTAATCGAGTGGTGAGAGAACACGGTGCCAATCAGGATCGCGCTTGCCATTAGTGGTGCCGTTTAGAATAATGGCAAAAGGATGCTCAACTTGGGGTAAATCAATGGTGTGCCCCAGGCCTCCTTGAGTATTAGTGATCGCTAAACGAGCGGCTGCTGTAGTACTAATCCTACCCACGGCGGCCATGTCAAAGGGATCGTCCAAATCCGAGTACCAAAGCACCCATCATTAGAGGCCTTTACTGGCCACTAAAATAAGCATGTTGATGGCTATAGTATTACATGGAGTATTTTTTAACTGATTGACTGGTGATTGCAGTCCGGACATGTAAGGCCCTGTTCGCTGGTCTGAAATTTGGCTGAAACTAGCTGAAAATACTATTCCGGCTGAATTGTTATGAGAAAAAAATACTGTTCCGACTAAAAAAAAAAGCCGAACAAATCGAATATAGGGTAAGCTGAACATGACCGAAGTGCTAGGTTCAAACAATGGGACGCCGAACAGGGGATAACCTGACTCGAGCTCCCTAATCCACCTGCTTGCAGTGGTCTCGAGAATGGGATAATCATATCTATGAACTATCACCTACTGTATTTGTTTATGTAGACTCGTCTGTACTGGAAATAATGGATCCGAGTGGCATATCATATGGTCCACTTGAGTCACTGACGGTGGGCCTCTATGGTGGCAAATTTTATGCCGCACACCCCTCATAATAATGGCAACTTAATTTTTTTTTTAAAAAAAAGAAAGAATTTTTGAGGAATAGTTGTGTCGACGATATATCTCGTGAGAAGAACTAGATGTGCTTCAAACAATCACAACCAAACAACATAATAGTTGGCGATGGTGTAGTGAGGGTTTCTTATGCAGATTTCGCAGAAGATGATGATCGGCAAAATTAGATTTTGGCTGCTCAAATCTTAAGACTTTACTCTCTCTCCATTTCAAAACACAAGTTATTTCAGTTTCATCCCAAGTCCAGTTTTTCCTAAGTCAGAAAAAATATAATCTTGTTGAGTAGTGCTTACAAAATATAATCTTGCTAAGCGAAAATAGTAAAGTGCTCCCTCTGTTCTAAATTATAAGACTTTCTGGCGTACATGGTTTTTGCTACATATCTAGATACAAATTATGTTTAGATACGTAGTAAAAGATATGTATCTAGAAAAAGCTAGAACGTCTTATAATTTGGAATGGAGGGAGTAGTAAAACTTGTTTTTGTGATTAAGATGGAGACAATTAGACGTTTGGTTTTTTTCCATATATGGCATGTATTTCAGGCAGCTTTGGATCTACCCAAATCTCCGTAACATGTCAACATATTTGGCAATTAGTTAGGAGACTTTAGTAAAGAATTAAAACTGATAATCCTGTTAGGGAGGCCGGATGCTATGTGTTGGCCTGTTGGGCACTTTGGTTAACCGGAAATTATTTAAGGAGTAAAAAATTCATTGGCAGTTCTCAAACTTGTTTCGCTATGTCATTCCGGTCCCTAAACACGCAAACTTGTCCCTTTAGGTCCTTAAACTTGTTTGCCCATTTCATCATAGTCCCTAATAAACTCACAAATCACTTGTGTAGGTATTCAAACTTGTTCAATTGTGTCATTCCGCTCACTAAACTCGCAAATCACCTGTTTTATATCCTCGATGTATGTCCGGGTCTTAGAGCTAGTGAGACGCGGACAAAGATTCAGTACCTAAATAGGTGATTAGCGAGTAGCAAATTTAGAGACCGGGTTGACATAGTCGAATAAGTTTGAGGACCTAAACGAGTGATTTGTGATTTTAGGGACTAGAATGACACGGCAAACAAGTTAGAGGACCTAAATGAGCGATTTATAAGTTTAGGGACCAGGATAATACAACTCAACAGGTTTGAGACCGCCAGAGGAATTTATTCATATTTTAGTATTTCAAGGAGGTATTCTTCTTTTTTGCAGGTTTTATTCTCGGTTACCTGATGCTCCGTACTTGGTTTATTCTCGAGAGAGAAATTGTACTTTTTTATCACTCGAGAAATCGTACTTGGAGTTGCAACAGCTGGTGAAAGTGGTCAATTGCTTTTTTTTCTAGACACGTAGGTCTCGCAATCTAATGTACTAATTAATATTCACTAGATTGTGTGTGTTTTATTACACCCACGTCAAAAACTACCTTTTTTTTTAAAAAAAAGTCTTTACATCACTCGATGTATTTGCTCTTGGAATCTTGATAGCTTCCCATCTTTTCATCACGATGACATATATAATCCCACAAAAGAAATGCAATCTAGCTAGTGCCATTCAGTCCAGGCTTATTTTTATAATTTCTCAAGGCATGCATATGCATCCCATAATTCACTGTTATGGCTGCTACATGCTTCTAGCCGTGTCGCAACAAGCCATCATCGTATAAGCTATAGTTATCTCAAGGTAGCTAGATATCATCTTGGCGTGCATGTGAATGCCGGCAGCCCTCTGTTTAGGACAGGAGTCGTGAAGAGACGTGGAGGCTATAAAAATAGTGGGCCCGCCGGGTGGCCCAGTTGGTTCGATCTCCGTCGCCTCGCGTGGCTATAAAATGGCAGCTGGCTCGTTTGCACGAAGACACACACACAGCAGTTCACAGATAGTACGTCTTCCTCATCATCTCTTGCCGAGCTCGATCTTAGTTCATCGATCGCCATGCGTCCAACACGCCTCCCTTTGCCGGCCAAGGCGCTGCTTGCGCTTGCCGTGGCACTGGCACTGGCACTGGCCGCCACGGCGTTGGCCCGCCACTCCCTCACCATCGTTCCGGCGCCGGCGGAGCGGGCGGACGAGGAGGTGCGGCGTATGTACGAGGCGTGGAAGTCGAAACACGGCCGTCCGCGTGGCAACTGCGACATGGCCGGCGAAGAGGACCGGCTGCGGCTGGAGGTGTTCCGCGACAACCTGCGGTACATCGACGCGCAAAACGCGGAGGCGGACGCCGGGCTCCACACCTTCCGCCTCGGCCTCACCCCCTTCGCCGACCTCACCCTGGAGGAGTACCGCGGCCGCGCCCTCGGCTTCCGCGGCCGCCGCAGCGGCGCGAGCGCGGCCAGCAGGGTCAGGAGCGGCGGCGCCCGCTACCGTCGTCCCCGCCCCCGCGGCGGCGACCTCCCCGACGCCATCGACTGGCGAGAACTTGGCGCCGTCACTGACGTCAAGAACCAAGAACAATGCGGTCCATAGTCTACTCCATCGGCACCATGCGTGCATGTTCTTCGGCGAGAATTCTCGCAGCTGTTTATCTGATGATCTCTGGGGCGGCCCAGGTGGGTGCTGGGCGTTCTCGGCGGTGGCGGCCATCGAGGGGGTCAACGCGATCGTGACGGGCAACCTCGTGTCGCTGTCGGAGCAGGAGATCATCGACTGCGACACCGTGGACAGCGGCTGCAACGGCGGGCAGATGGAGAACGCCTTTCAGTTCGTCATCAACAACGGCGGGATCGACACCGAGTCCGACTACCCCTTCATCGGAACCGACGGCACCTGTGATGCGAACAAGGTACGGTCGGTACGGTACTGTCGTCATCATCAAAAGTGAAGCTGCTTGCTTCATCATTAGTACTAATAATGGAGAGATTGTATTAATTGTTCGATGCAGGAGAACGATGAAAAGGTTGCGACCATAGATGGGTTCGTGGAGGTGCCGAGCAACAGCGAGACGGCGCTGCAGGAGGCGGTGGCGATCCAGCCCGTCAGCGTCGCCATCGACGCAAGCGGACGTGCGTTCCAACACTACAGCTCGGTAAGCATGCTCCCGGAATGGAACGGAACGGAACGGAACGGAAGGCGGCGGAGTAGTTGAGATGGAACCGGTGCATTCCAAGATCAGACGATGATCGTCAGATCGATGGAGGAGAAACTGAACTGTTGTCTTGTAACAATCGCAGGGCATCTTCAACGGGCCGTGCGGGACGAACCTGGACCATGGCGTCACGGTGGTGGGCTACGGCAGCGAGAACGGCAGGGACTGCTGGATCGTGAAGAACTCGTGGAGCACTGACTGGGGCGAGGCCGGCTACATCCGCATGAGGCGCAACGTGCCATGGCCCACGGGCAAGTGTGGCATCGCCATGGACGCGTCGTACCCGGTGAAGGATACCTCCCACCCCGCCACGGCTAGGGCAGCCATGGATGTGCTCAAGATGGTTCTTGCTTAGCCGGCAGAGAAGGCAGCCGGCTCGACTGGAGTTGCTTCGATCACTTATAAAATAAGAAGAAAAAAACTGAAGTTGCTTGTTTTTACTACTAGCGTTGCGCTGAGTTGTGATGCACGAGGATCTTGTTGAACTTGTATGGTGTGGTAAGTTAATACTCCTATGTTATTATTACGTGCATCTTTCTTGAGTGGTAATGTAATGATGTTATTACAAATAAATAAATAAATAGGATGATAAAGTTGTTTGTTTGTGCTTATTTGTTCGTTTTTCTCGTGGGCTATCTCGGCTTTTCATCGTCGTGGTCTTGAGGACGCCGTGTCAATCGGGACCTGCCCAATAAGGAGGAAGGCCACATGGCCCAAGGAAATCCATCCGCGACGGCGGCGGCCACCTTGGGTGCAATGCATGGCTGGAAATGATGCCTCATATAAGAATGCAACACTGCTTAAGCATGCAATCCTATCCAGTTCTATGACATAGGATGAAAAGAAGACAGAAAAATCGCAACCCGCTTCCCTAACAGATAGTCAAAATGAGCATATCACCATATCACAGTTCAGACTTGCTATCATCTTTCAAACCTTTTTTTGGAACCTGAAGCAAATTGGCTACAGAAATTGGTGCACGTAAAGCAAGCAATTTTGTTTCTACAGATTGCAAAGTGGCTACAGAAATTGATGCACGTAAAGCATCTGGGGCAGCAATTCTAGGATCAGCGTAACATTGATCCAGAATCAAGCAATGAATTCATACCTGCAACCTAAGAATTATCATTTCATATAATCTGAGGTGCTAACAATCGAAGAGGGAAAGTCATGTTCAAAGTTCCTTTTCATTCTCAATTCAGCCTCTAATCTAAATACAACTTAAAATTACTAACCAAGTATTTGCATATCAACAGAAGATTGCAGTGGCTCACTACATATGCGACCATTGCCGGCACAAATGACATCTTGAAAAGCAAATTGAGATGATAATTCGGACACCTATACATTCACCTTCAGTGTATATATATCAATCTAAATACAGAGCACCCAGCATGACCAACTGAGGTTTCGGTAGCAGAATTGCATAATATCCTATCCACAGGCTTAAACCGAGCATTACAACACAAGCAGAATTACTATAGCAACACGCCAAGAAAAGATCAGATAGCCACAAGGATACATCCACTTCACAAGCATGAGCATAGCAAATAACAAGGATATATCCAGAACTTCAGGGTTCACTTATTCTTCATTCCATAGTTCGACCAAACTGCTGCACAGCAGCAAGTGTTCACAAATAACCAGACAACATAGGACTCTGCATCAGACAGGCAAACAAGAGACAAGACTCGACCAGGACTCGGACCACAGAACACGAAGACAGTCTCCCAATCTCCAACGGGAGACCCACAAGGCACCAGCACCATACTTGTGAACTCAGGGACGACATGGCCCAGCAGGACTTACTGGCCACCACGGAGAATGGAGTATGTTTCTGTTATCTTTCTTGAGAAAACGTTCGATGTATTTTCGTTGCGTTTTTCCTTTTCTTTTTCTTCGTGCATTTCCGTTACGAAAATAGAAAACTTAATGCAATATTCAGATGCAAATGGTACTCGTTCTATTTAAGTAGTCATGTTTGAAGTTCTGTTCAGTTTAGTTAGTTTCCAATCTGAGTAGAATTACAACCAAGGAGACACAAATTGCAAATGAACAAACGACAAATTGCAAATGAACAAACGAAGATTGCATCGACAAGTCACTCCACGGAAGGCCTTGATCTGAAATATATCAATCTAAATCCAGCGCATCCAGCATGACCAACTGAAGCGTTTCAGTAGCAGCATTGCAAAACTTGCACCAAGAACAGAGCAGTGCTTCAAACAAACTTAAGCATACCAAACAAGGGCATATCCAGAAATCGTAATTAACAAACATGTACACAAGTTCAGGGTGTTAGGTTTGATCTCCCACCAGTTAGGCCCAACGGCCTTTTTGGGCCTTGTTCTCGCGCCCTGATCGGGGGCGCCCAACCCTACATGATTGGTGGGCCCCCGTCGCACAGCGTTATAAAGGAAAGGTGAGGGCCGGGGATCGCAGTACGAGGTTGACCGCGCCGCCGGTCACCCCACCGACATCCTAACCCTAGACCCGATCTTGAGAAGGGGCGCTGCCAGCGACGGGAAGCACCACCGACGCCGACAACGCCACCCCGACGCACACGCCGCCGCCGAGGACGCCACAGCGCCGACTCCCTCTCCACCGAACGTCGCTGCCGGCACGCAGATGGCGTCTGTCAACGAAACCCCGGCCGGAGCTTCGACCACTACGGCTTTCGATGGTTTGCTACCTATCACCCCCTTTCTCTCTGTCTCTCTGTGAATCATGAACACCTATTCTACTACTATGTATCCCGATCTGATGAATATGCCTAAAACGAATTACAACAATGGTACCGAGCCACGGTTCGACAAGAAATCAGATCGGGGAAGTGAAACCGACCGATCTGATGCGGATCGGGAAAGAAAATAGAAAAACGAACCCTAAGACCTAACCCTAATTTCCTAAATCAAATCGGAACAAGGGAAAAGGGGAGGGTCGGATTCCGAGAACCCTAGACGCAAATCCTAAAGAGAGAAAAGGGGAAGAAGAAAGAAAGAAAGGTCGAAACCATAACCCTAATCCCAGTTTTCCATTCGGATGAACGAAAAGAAAGAAACGAAAGCAAAGAAAACGAATCGGCAAGAACGAACCCTAACCCTAACCCTAGTTTTTTCCCATTCGGATAAACCCGAAAAGAACAACTCAAAATCAGAAAGGGGAAAATGCGTTAGGGTTAGGGTGCATCGGATGAACCTTTCGCCGGCGCGGGAGAAGAAGCCGAGCCGGGGGCGCGGGCTCGCCGGGCTCGGCCAAGGAAGCGCCGCGGCCAGGGCAAAGGCCCGCTCGCTCATCACTCCTTTGCTCTCGGTTGTGGCTCGCTGCTGCGGCTGAAGAGAGATGAGAGAGAGCGGCGAAGAAGAAGAGAGAGAGAGAGAGAGCAAGAGCCGAATGACCTAGGGTTTCCACGGCACCGGCGCGGCGTTGGTTTTGATCCGGCCAAGATGGCGCGCGACGACCGGCCGATCGAAACCAACGACCCACGGATCTCGGTCGTCGTCGCCCAAAGTGGGTGAGTGAAGGGCGGCGCTTCTTGCCAGGCCAGTTCCAGCGGCGCGCTTTGTCGTGCGCGAGACAGCTGGGCCGAGCCAGTTTTCAGCGCGTTTTGGGCCACGCTGGGCTGAAATGAAAGAAGAAGAAGAAAAAAATTTTTCTTATTATTTTCCAGGAGCAATTTTAAATGCATATTTTGATGAATTTGAATGATTTTGGCACAATTTTCTGTGCAAATTTTATCCAACGATATTTTGCTCAGAAAACAGTGAATTTTTTAGTGCTTCTGGAAAATAATAATATGAAAAGATTATTAATGTTTCTGTTGTGCGTGATAATTATTGTTCTCTTTGATTCAATTTGAACCAACGGGATAATTTAATTTTAAGAGAAATGAATTTCTGATAATTTTGATGCGATTATGATATTGTTATTTTCTGACCAACGTTGTTAATAACAATATTATAATTTTGATCCATGAGAAATTGTGCATTAATTTTACTTCTGCCCAACGGTGATGTAAAATGTTTGCATGGATGAATTATAAGTTTTAATTTAACCAACGTTGAGTTAAAGCATGAAATTTTATGTATAAATGTTCTTACTTACTCTGGTGTGATTTCAGGAGGCAAATGCATTGTGAACATTGCCAACATCCCGACACTCAACGGAACCAATCACCGTGTGTGGCGGGAGAAGTATGAATTGGAACTTGCGTTGGGAGAGGTCGATTTTGCCATCACCTCACCGTGTCCCTCTTGAGTCGAGGACCCGGTGAGAGGTGATTTATGAAATCGACGCCGATTTCACTTTCGAAAGCGTGATCATGCTGAAATAAGAATAAAATATGATCTTGAACATAGGCAATGGACTCTCTCCAACCGCAAGCGCCTGTTGGTAGCCAAAGCCACCATAGAAGAACAGATAAGGGGCTCAATCCCTGAATATGCTACTGCCAAAGAATATCTTGAGAAAATCAAGAGTTAGTTTACTGGGTCTACCAAGGCCACAGCAAGTTCACTGATTAAGAAGTTTGTGTGAGAAATTCACTGGTGGTAGCATAAGATAGCACATTTTGAAGATGAACACTACGACATCTAAGCTAAAAGAAATGAATTTGAAGGAGGAGGATTTCCTGATTCATTTGATTTTTGTTTCTTTGCCAAAAGAATATGACACCTTCATTGTGAACTATAATATGCAGCCTGAAAGATGGGGCATAGAAAGACTCATCTCAATGTGTGCTCAAGAAGAGGAGAGGATAAAGTCCTCACAAGGTGAATCCGCTCATTTTGTGAAGGATAACAAAAGAAAGAACTTTAATGGCAAGAATTCTAAACCACAAGAGAAACCTAAGTGGGATAAGACCTCTTCCTCTAGTTCACAAGGAAAGAAACCCCAGGATTCTGAGAATCAGCAGTATGGTGGAGCTGAAAAAGATCAGTGCAAGCACTGCTTCAAGAAGGGACACTACAAGAGGGATTGTCCTGACTTCCTGAAATCTCTGCTAAAGAAAGGTGATGAATTTATTACATTTGTAGATGAATCCTTGTATTTATGTTATGACAAATCCACTTGGTGGGTTGATTCAGGAGCAACTACTCATGTTGCAAATTCTTTACAGGGGTTAAGTGGGACGAGAACCTTGCAAAGAGGAGAAAGAACGATTAAAGTTGCAAATGGAGTGCAAGCCAATGTTGAAGCCATTGGAGATTTTTCTTTAGAATTGAATAATGGTTTGTACTTAGACTTAAAGAAGTACTTTATGTTCCCTCTTTGCGTAGAAATTTAATAAGTGTTTCGAAACTTGATGATGATGGAATTGATTGCCATTTTGGTGATGGCAAGTGTAAGATACTG